ATCCTGACTTAAGAGTCCAACTTGAGCAACTTAGTGTTTTAAGCCAACCTGCCTCAAAATAAAAGAAGGGGTGAGGGTGTGGCTCACTGTGAAAGCCCTGGGTTTGATCCCCAGTACAGGAAAAAATAAAAAGGACCAACTGGGCTGAAGCAGCAAGCTTTCTGTCGCACAAGATCCTCCACCTCAGCCTCCTGGGACACTTCCCACAAAGGCTTCCAATGTAAATGCTAGGTCTCTTGTCCCACGTGAGACTTCACCCTGTCTTCTTTTCTAGTCACTGTCCAGTGCTCAAGTTATCCCCCAAGCACTTGCTATTCTTTCATCTCACCTCTGTTCCCCAATGGCCCCACCGGTGCCTTTCTTGTGACAGACAAGTCTCCTTCCCTTTTGTCATCTGCAGCTGGCCTTCATAGTCCTGGCTTTCCTGGGAGTCCAAGTCTCCCATGGGACTTGGGAGAAGGAGGCTCAGGTCCCCTCCCAGGTTTGGAGGCTCTCCTAGGTTGACCTTTCAGAGTTTTGACCAGTTCTCCTGGAGTAAGACTCTTTTCCACTGAAGCCCACACCGTCTGTCTCTTCCACCTCCTCTTCCTCTTCACTGTTGTTATTTTCTAATGGTCAAATGATGATTGGCTGGAATCTAACCAACCAGCAGCTTGTCCACTTTCATTGAGAAAGTTAGCATCTGGCTTATCTTTTCTCTCTTAACACCATGTCAGTCCACAGTGCTTCTGTCCAGGTTCAGAATGCACACAGGGGCCAGGGATACAGCTCAGCGATACAAATGCCTGCCTGGCAAGTGCAAGGTCCTGAGTTCGATTTCCAGTACTCCCGCCCCCACAAAAATCTACAGAATGCAGGCATTGTCAACCCTGAACAGGACTGCAGTCTACAGCCCTTAGGCTCAGTGTCCTGTTCGATCCTCTGACCCAAGTCCCCACCCAATAATTTTTTTTTTTTTCAGTACAGAAGATTGAACTTGGGACCTTGTGCTTGCTAGGCAGGCACTTATGCCACTGAGCCATATCCCTGGCCCCCAACCCAGGATTTTTAATAAGTTTGTCTGAAATTGCACCTGACCAGTGAGTACATAAAACCCAAGGATGCCTGGTCAGGAGAACACAGTTCATAAAACACAGAGTTCTCATGTGGCAGCAAGGAATAATCATGTAGAAGTACACGTTACAATATGGACAGACCTTTAATACACAAAAATAAGTTTAAAAATCTATACTAAAAATACACTGAGGAGGGGCCGGGGAGATGGCTTAGTAGAATAGAGCTTGCCCAGCAAGAGCAAGGGCCTGAGTTCAATCCCCAGTTCCAAAAAAAGGAAGAAAAAGAAAAAGAAAATACTGATGATAGCTATATCTGTAACCCCAGAGCTCTGGGAGGCTGAGGCAGGTGAATGAAAAGTTGAAGCCCAACCTGGGAAACTTAGTGACTTAGAACCTGTTTCAAAGTAAAAATTAAAAAAAAGTCGGGATGTAGTTCAGGTTTAGGCTCTGGGTATAATCCCGAGTACAAAAAATGAAAGCAAGCAAGCAAGCAAGCAAAGCAAAACTATATCTGAATAGTGGGTCTTGAAATGACTTTCTTAAAAAAAAATCATATAGGGCTAGGGAGATAGCTCAGTGGTTTAAGTGCGTGCCTGGCAAGCACAAGAACCTGGGTTCGATCCCCAGTACTGCATGCTATACCAGTCACCAAAACCGGGCAGAGTGGCACATGCCTGTAATCCCAGTGCTAAGGAGGCTGAGACAGGAAGATCTCTATGAGTCTGAGCTATGTAGTGAGACCTTGGGTCAAATAAAATAAATAAATACCTACGTATACACAGAAAACAGTATTATGTATATCATTGTCCCTTGGTTCCCACACTGGCTCCAAAACTTTTGCAGATTCTAAAATGTATGGATGCTCATCTCTTACATAAAATTGCATTGCTGTATTTGCATAATTCAACATCTAGCACACACATAACACCTAGTACAATATATATGCTGTGTAGATAGTTTTTGTATTTTAGGGAAGGGTCTACAGGGTGTTCAGGGTCTCACTACTAGATCAGATTCATAGTGATCCGCCTGTTTACAGCCCCCCAAGACCTGGGATTACAGGCATGCACCACCATGCCCAGTGTCAATTGCCATCTCAGTGGGCCCCAGGGGCAGGGCCGGCACAACAGACCCAGGGGATGGAACCCCTGGTCCCTGCACTTACTTGCATGCGCTTTAATCCTCTGAGCTATTAGCCAGCCCCTAATATGGTTTTTTAAAAGATATTTGTGATCCACAGTTGGTTGAATCAGAAATGTGCACCCAAGGATATGGAGGGCTGGCTGTACGTCAAGGCCATCTGTGTATTTAAAGTCACCCACAAAACACATCTGATGAGATGCTTCTAGGAATGGGGTAGACAAAGGAGAGAAACTAAACAGATCCTGAGCTATGGTCTCAGGAATGTAATCCTTTTTTTTGTTTTGTTCTTTTGGGACAGGGTCTCACTATGTACTTCAGGCTAGCTTTAAACTTACCATGTAGCCCAGGGTGGCCTTGAACTCACAGCATTCCTCTTGTCTCAGCCTCCTAAGCACTACGATTATAAGCATGCATCACCATGCCCACACATAACTCATCACTGTTACATAATTCATTTCTGCACCTGACTTAAAAAAAAAATTCCTTCCAATCTGGCCACTATATTCAGTTGCTCAAAACTTTCCTGTTTTTCTTTCCCTTTAGAATAAAACTGTAAAACAGTTAATGTAGGGGCTGAGAGATGGCTCAGTAGAATAAACACTTGCCTGGCATGCGCAAGGGCCTGAGTTCAATCCCCGGTTCCCCCCCACCCCCCCCAAAAAAAAAGTTAATGTAGTCAACAAGCCCTACAGGGCCTGAGTCGCATCTGCATTGGCTATATTCATTCAACTTGCTTCCAAGAGCACCAACCTGCCAGAGACCCGTCCTATGCCAACAGCTTGCCAGGTAAATGCTTTTCCACCTACTCTTTGCCTGGCAAATTACACATCCTTCAGTCCTTCAAGGAAGTCTTCCCTGACTCCCGGTGTAAACCAGGTCATCTCTTCAGGTTGTTCCTCACACCCATACTTTCCTTTCAAAGCCATGATGCCTGTTATAGTCCCGTGGTCACTGGTGTGATGGGAAGATTAGTATTGAGTCCTTCCAATGGAGCATTCACTCCATGAGAAAAAGGCTAGATGATGTCAGCTATATCAAGTGATCACCTGCTTAGCCTAGTGCCAGTCACCTAATAAATATCTGTTGATAAATGAATGAATGGCATCATCAGACACTGAAAATTCTGGCCACTTCTCTGGGTTCTTCCATGTCTGAAACCTTTTTCCATTGAGGATTTACTGAATGGGCACTAAGTGCTGCCAAGCACTATGCTCAGTGCTGCAGACCCCAAGTTAAATAGGACGAAGTTTATCAGCTCCATCTCCAAGGCTGGCCAGACATTTTCCTGTTCCCTTCCTCCTTTCCCCTCCTGTTTCTACTCTTGAACCCCAGCAAGCTCTTCAGGTTGTCCAGTTACTCCAAGTCTGTCATCTCCTCTCCCTGATTCATCCAACCTAGAGCCATGCACCGTGTCCCTGGTGTTCCCTAACTTTAAGCCTCTCACCTCCTTGGCCTGTGATGACACCCACAGGCCATACTCTGGGCCTTTTTGACATCAACTTGTTCATCCTGTATCCAGACCACTAAGTGCAGCTTGAGAAAACAAAACAATAAACTCCCTCAGTGCCACAGAGTTGAGATCTTTTAAATGGCAAGGTATAAAGAGATCTTGGGTCCTTGGGTGGGCACACAGTACACACCTGTAATCTCAGTACTCTGGGAGGCTGAGGCAGAAAGGTTGAGAGTTTGAGTCTAGCTTGGACAGTTTAGTGACTAAGTGAGATCCTGTCTCAAAATTTAAAGTAAAGGTTGGGGATATAACTCACTACAAAGGTTCTGGATTTAAAGTACCCTCACTGGGCATGGGGCGCACCCCTCTAATTGCAGTATTCAGGAGGCTGAGACAGGAGGATTGTTGCAAATTTCAGACCAGCCTGGGCTACAAAGTGAGCTCAAGACCAGCCTGGCCTAAATAGCATAGCGAGACCCGGTCTTATTTATTTATTTATTTTGGCGGAACTGGGGATTGAACTCAGGCCCTTGCACTTGCCAGGGAAGCACTAATTCCAGCAAGACCCTGCCTTAAAAAGATAAAATAACAGTAATAATAATAATAATAATAAAATACTCAGTAATGCAAAATAACCAATTAATTAAAAATAATAAAATAAGCCAGGTGTGGGGCACACACCTATAAGCCTACTGCTTGAAAGGGAAGGCTGAAACAGGAGGATAGTTCGGAGTCTGAGGCTAGCTTGGACTGCATAGTGAGTTCAAGGCCATCTTGGAATACACATTGAGACCCTGTTAAAAGAAAGAAAAGATAGATAGAAAGAAAGAAAGAAAGAAAGAAAGAAAGAAAGAAAGAAAGAAAGAGGCAGGTGGGCTGGGGATATGGCTCAGTGTAAATATCCTGGTTCAGTCCCTAGTGTCATAAATAAATAAGTGGCTGAGGATGTACCCAGATTGAATCCCCAGTATGAAAGAAAAAATGCCATTAAGAGTCTGCAGCAAAGTTCATACCCAATAACGAAGTATTATTTAAAAATTCCTATTAACATCAGAAAGTAAGGATACCTACTTCCAATAAGAAATGAAAAGGACATAAAAGGCCTGAGGACCGGGGGGGAACCTGAGGTGGTGGCTCACACCTGTAGTCCTAGCACTTGGGAGGCAGAGGCAGGAGGATTGCAAGTGTGACCCCAGCCTGGGCAACTGAGCAAGATCCTGTCTCAAAAAAGGGCTGGGGATGTAGCTCAGTGTGAAAATCAGAAGTTCAATCTCCAGTAACACACACACACACACACACACACACACACACACACACCAAAAAAGTAAACAAATGAATGAATAAGGATTAGAAAAGATAACACACATCTTCTCTGTGCAGTTGATGTGACTGCTTAGAAATGGCGGGGGGGGG